AATTGTAAATTATTTCTACTTTAATTGATTTTATTTTTAAAATTGATTCAAATTACATTTATATTAATTTAAAAACTTTCATTCATTATTTGTGTTTTGACTTTAAATGGATTTTACAATTTAATTATTATATTGTCTAATAAATAAATAAATATAAAAATTAAAGAAAAATAAAAAAATGTAAAAATATATTAAAAAAAGGTTGAATCGGTTGGGTCAACTAGGTTTGACTGGGTATGGGTGTGTTTCGACCAAGTTTGGTTGGGTTTAATTTCTAATGAGCCAATATCATAACTCGGCCTATTTTCAAAACCAATTTTGATTTAACTGGTTAAACAGACCAGATCAAGCTGCGTTTCAAAAAATTGGATTATGGTATAATTAGATGCCCTAATACTTCATATCATAGTGAATTTTATTTAAATTGTTATCTTCTTTTAATTAGTTTTAATTAAAATTCTACCTTTTATATGTTCAAATAATTTTAGAATTAGTTACTTTTAATACTTCCTTATTATCTTTGTGGGAACAATACTCTATCCATTACTTTATTACTTGAGTGATTAGTGCATTTGTTATGAATTTAGTGCATCAAGTTTTTGGTGTTGAGTTAAGGAAAAAAAAAAATGAAAAGATAATTGTAAAGATGTTAACCTTGAAAGTTGAAGAGACCTATGATTAGTGTCATATGTGATAGTGGAGGAAGTAAAAGAGTTGGAAACTCCCCTTCTAAAGCTAGAGGTTTTCATAAAACTTAATGCTCATGGCTAATTTGTTTTAAGTTACAAAAGATATAATTAGTTTAGCAAGCAAGGGAATGATTATTTGAAAAGTTAGTTAATTGAGGAGAATTCGTCATTTCATGTAATGACACTTAACAAATCTTAAAATTTTAATTGGTCTTGGATTAAAATAATTTATTAGTTGTTAACTAATTATGTGGCCTATGATGAATTGTTAACATTATGTGCGCTGCATTTTACTCTATAGTTGTTGTAAATGAGTTCGAGTACCTGTTGTACTTATTAATAAAATAACTTATTACAACTCAAAAAAAATAATTAATCAGTTGTATAATACAAATTAAATAAAATCTAAACTTATTAGTTACTTTTCATTCATAATTTCTTTTTAATAATTCCTTTAATTTGAATAGTTTAGCTTTATTTAATTAATCAATTAATTTGACTCAAACTTGATTATAAAATCTAATGTAGAATAGTCTTCTAGAAAATGATATATCTTGCTCATTTTTTATTGCATAATTAATTAGATTCACCTACTTAAGAATATTATGTAAAAATTTTACGTATTTTATCCATCAAATTTCTACATTCAAACTTGACTAATCATGACATAGCACAAGTTGATGTTGATGTTGATGTTGATGTCATAGTTTTCTGCTAGTTTTTGGTAGCCATTGATTCTCCTTGTCCGGCTGTGAAGGCATGCCGTCCCTAGCCGTTTAATTGCCTCCAAAATCAAGAACTTTTGAAACTTCCAAATTAATCCTATAAATACCTCTTTTATGTACCAAACTTTCGCAATCAAATTTCAAAGGCAAATAGAGCTTATATTCATTGTAATGGATTCTCAAAAGATTTTTCTCATTTTTGTGGTGATTGCAGCCATTTTTCCTGCATCCACTGTTTTTACCAAAGAGATCATAGTTGGAAATGAAAACGGTTGGACGCTAGCGTTTGACTACCAAGCTTGGGCACAAGGAAAGAAGTTTTATGTTGGAGATAAGCTTGGTAACTGGTTGTTAATCCTTTGAAATACACAAGAATTTGCATCTCATTTTACTGACTTACAGTGACCTTTGGATTAAATATATTTTATTCTTGATGATATATTGCATGCATAACAAATTTTAAGTTGTTTTACCCATAGTAGTATTTGTTTCATAGATGAGTATCTTAAATATATTTAGAATTTTGATTGAAAACCTGGGGCACATGGTGTACTTAAAGTGAACAGAACCGCCTTCCAGAACTGCACAAAAACACAAGTGAGACGTTGACCTCTGGGAATGACACAATCACTTTGGCAACTCCTTGGAGAAAATGGTACATTTGTGGTGAAGGGGAACGTTGCGAAAATGGATAAAAACATGTAATAACCGTCGACACAGTTGCTCCAAGCGGTGCTCCAATAGGCAGCGCCCCTTCCCCAGCATGGCCATCGGGGGAGCATTACACATCAATGGCTGCTTCAAAGACTACAATTATGCAGCTTGAATTTGCAATAGTTGCTGTCATTATCACAATGACAATGATTTATTATTAATTAGAAATAGGATTATCGTCCATTATTTAATTACTAAAATTTTCAATAAAAATGGACTTCCAAACATTAGTAATTAGAGTTTGAATTTGTATGTCATAACTAAGATGAAAACTTAATTATATGACGTTTGTGCTTCTTTAAGAATTTTAGGTAGAAGGAAACTACAATATGTATATTGTATGCTAAAGCTCAAATAATTATTAATCGAGATAAAATCTTAGATATTTATTTTTTTTAAAAAAAACTTAAATAATTATTTATTTTTTAATAATAAGTTATTTGTTCTTGTCATCATTATTTTTCTTACATCTTCACATCACAACAAATGCAATCAATTTTCTATTTGTGACAATGCAGCTGATAATATTTGATACAGCAGCAAGCGCCAGCAAGCACCAGGAACGTCACCACCCCCACAATCCCGCCAACCACCATGTATTTCACCGCACATTCTTCATCAGGCTTAATGGTGACCAGATTATCATCAAAATCTATTAATGATGGAGGACCCTCACGATCGGCCGGTACTAGCTCTCTGCAGTGTTGGCTCAGCTCGGGAACCGGGGGAGGTTTTTTGGGCATTGTTATGGTAAGGACGCCACAAGAAAACTTGGCCCTTATTTCATTGATTTTGATGTCATCGGAGACTTTGATTTCTTTGCGGAAACAGCTCGTTATGGATTTTTCTAACGGACGTTCTCCAGTGATGGATAGGATGCCCGCACAATGATTAATCATAACCTTCAGTTGTTCCTTTTTGAAACCTACAAGCAAGGTTGAGGAATAACCTTAATCAACCTCTTGGACTTTTTCTTAACGTACAATTAAGTCCTAACATTTCAATTGAATCTAACAAACACCGTTTATTTCTACCATCCTCAAAATTGCCCAAATTTGGTACTGCAAATACATAATCAAGCATAATTTCTTTAAATAAGTTTCCATTAAACTTTCCCTTGACTTAATTTTGTTTGTACCTTGATTCCAATGTCCAAGCATAGTATTATTATAGTGTTCCACATGCGAGAAAAGGGAGGCAAGAGAGAAAAGATAGCATATTAATTAACACTTATCCACATAATATTTTGTATGTCTAGTGTCTATGGACAAAGTGGCTTGTAGGTAATTGTATCTAAACAAAATATTTAGTTAGTTAAATTAATTTATCTTGGAAACATGAAAAAATATGTTTTGAGGGCAAATTTGGTTGTCAGAAAATAAATCAGGGCCGAATGGTATCTAAATAATATAAGGTCTCAATTAATGGACCTTAGGAAGAAAAATTCATGACGTTTCTCTAAAAATACTTTTTTTTTTTTAAGTTATTGCCGCATTCTAAATATATCCTAAATATATACCTAATAATATGTTTTTTTAATATAATTATCTATTATACTGTTACATTATAATTTTTTTCAAAACTTATATTTTTTATTTTTAATAAATTAAAAAGTATAATGATCAACTAAGATAAAAAAAAAGTATGCTATTAATAAAAATTCATGAAATGAATTTTTTTTTTCCAAGGAAGGAGATGATAGGATGAATACCTTGCAAATCGAGCTCAACATTATTAGAACATTCTTCTTTTTTCCATTTGCACATGGGTTCAAATTCTTCAGAGCGCCTGTCGCAGACTCTGGTCGCCATATGGGATCGAAGTTTTTTTCTGTTTCTTAGACCAAAAATATCACGAAATTCTTGAACGAAATGCTGTGTGCCTTTTAATCTTGCATCTTATATATATAATTGAAAGAACAGAGAGAATATCAAGAGAGTTTCCTTTGGAGGTTTATTATTGAAACTGTGAAAAGAATTATTCCTTTGTTTTTGTTTTTGTTTTTTTTTTTTAATCAGCAAAGAATTATTCCTTTGTAGTTTCAGCGGAATTTGATAAGCTTGGTCTTCGCCTCTTTGGCTAGACTTTTTCTTCACGGTGATTCATTATTCTTTCTTTGCTTCATTCCTTTCTTCGCCTTTGCATCACATGTGATAAGTGATGTTTCTTGAAAGACAAGATAACATGTTAAAACGGTTTTTTCTTTTTTCCTTTTTCCTTTTTTTTTTTTTTTTTTTTTTGTAACGACAAATTGTTATCTAATTTACTGCTGATAAAAAATAACAAAATATAGTAATAATTTTATACTATACATGCATATAAGAAGACAAATACTTCATAATACTTCATAACTCAAAGGTATCAAGACCTCCACATTAACCATTAAACCTTACTATCCATTAACTATAGCAGATGTGTTAAAACCTAATTATTTCTATGATTAAGATGCCAATGAAACTTTTGACATAATAGTAATGCAAGCATCCTAGAATAATTACAAAAAATGTTAGGCATCTTATATAGCTAGAACCATTCTTGAGTTTGAATTCCCTCTTATATGGGTCCCTTGGGTAGGATGAAGATTAAAGTTTTAAGCAGGTAATTAGCATCAAGAAACTAAAGTTTCCAAAGGAGTATCTCAGTGGTCTATAATATAAGACTTAAATAGTATGTTTAGTTCAAGCAAAATGAAAGGGAGAATAAAAAAAGGATGTAAGGGAAGAAGAGGGTTATGTCCTTTTGTGTAATCATTTGATTTGGGTCTAAGCCAATACATAGGAAGGTTCAAAGAGCATTTTAGAACTTTTATACCTCTAACTACAACAAACAGAGAATAAAATTAGTATTTTTAACTTTTACTTTCTTTAACACAATTTTTAATAAGAAATATTTTCTTCTCATGTATTTGGAAGGAAAAACTTTCCCTTCAACTTTCTCAATGTAAGATTCATTATATTTGACAAATTTATCCCAACTTTCATAGTATCAACTTTTTATCAAACATTAATAACCCAATAAAATTTCAACAAAATTTTATTCTAAAATTTATCAATTTTTTATACAATATTTTTGCAATTACTTTCCCAATAAAAACTTTCCTAATAAGGGGTTTTTTTAAATTTTTTTGGATCAGCAAGGAAAATATTATTAATTGAAGTAGAAGGTCTACTCCTATCCATTATACACTAGTTTTAAACATTGTTTCACCAACCATGCACCAATGCCCTTGATGTGTTACTGTTTCAGAACCAAAAGAAAATCAATACAATCGAGAATTTAGGTGAATTTTCTCAGTGCCTCCCTTGGAATCCCATGCCATAAGTCCTCCTGTACACCTATCCCTGATCAAGCTTTAATCAATGAAAGGGCCCCATATTTAATCAAGTCAAAAACCTCAGCAGGGGTTATTACCTCATCCTTGAATGGCCGTTGATTCCTCTAGAACCATGTTGACCATGAAGTGGCAAACCATATTACTCTCCATGCTTCTCTTTGAATTCCTTTAGGGACCAAGCCTATATGTTGTAGAAGATGATTACCACAATTTCCTTGGGGCACTAATGAAAGAAAGAAAATGTATATTTAAAGTGTACTTAACCAATAACATTTGTGGAATTATGGGCTTAAGAGTTGTATTTTCTTATAAGTAGTTTTATAAGTGTTCATTTTATTCATGTTGTGCGAATTTTGTGGTGATTAAAGGTTTGATGTTAAATGGAGAAGAATTAAAAGAAAGAGACTTAAATGCAAAGAGCTGGAAAGATGAGGATCCAAGGATAAATCTGGAACTTTGAAGGCTAAAGTGAAATTTCTCCATATTTCATTAAGAGCAAAGTTAGCAGAGTCCGTGAAGTTGCCATGACCTCTGTGAAGTTGCCGTGACCAGCGCAAAAGGATTTCCAGTAGCATCAAGGGTTCCGCAACCTGTTTCAGGTTCCAACCCTTGGGCAATGTTGCACAAAACAGAAGCATTAGGGGTTCCGCACCCTCATTGAGGTTCCAATCCCTGTCCGACAAGGCTGTGCACGAAGAAAAAAAAAAATTAAGTCCCTAAGGCTACTATCCTAGTTACCAAACACTCCTATTTTATTCTTAATATATATAGGAGTATTTAAAATTAAGTTTGGTATCTAGAGAAGCAATTCCTAGACTTCTATTTTCTTCTCCAAGGCTAGAAATTATGTCAAAGTGTAGCTAAACTCTCAACAAGGCTAGGGATCAAGGATCTTAATTGAGGAATTTGACTTGTTATTTTATTTTGATTCTTTCATAGATTTTATTATTTAATTTTATTTTTGAGAGATTACTAATTATTTTTCAGATTTGTAAATCTTAAAGATTATATTAATGAAATTTCATATAAGATTAATCATGCTCTTTTTACTTGTAGTTTGTTAGAATATAATTAATTGATAGATTTGTTTTGCGGGTTGATCCTTTATTGCAGTATTGTCAAATAGATATATTGTCGCTCTTAAATAGTTCGTAATGATAGATCAGTTTGTTCTTCCTTAAAATTAATTTCTCTCAAAATAAATACATTAATTATTATTATTGGTCTTCAAAGTTAAATCTCTTGATTGTTTGTTTGGGATGTGAAACATGCAATTGAGTAATAAATAGGAATCAAAATTTATAACAGTTCAACAAATCAATTACGTGAACCCTAAAGTATTGTTCATCATAATATTGTTTTCAATCTTTTATAATTATCATCTTTTATTTAAATATTTTTATTCTTTACTTTAAAATTCATCTTTTAATTTAATTTCTCATTATGACAACTCTTTTTGTTGATTTAATATAGCTTCCCTATGGATTCGACACCTAAAGTTACACTACAACAACCGCTTAGCCGAAGGGTTTTAATTTTGGAGCGAGACATTAGGCGCAACCTTTAATCCCTGCTAGTCATAACACAGGGCCCAAAATTTCCAAGAATCCTTGCATGATACCAGTAGATGATCAGCATTTTCATCAAAGTTTCCACACATGATGCATAGGGAATCTTGACCTACGTGCAAAATGCCTCTCTTTACAATATTTGTTTTTGTTGGCAATTGATCTTGAAGAGCTCTCCATGAAAACTTTGTAACTTTGAGAGGTATTTTCTTACCCCAAACCGCATGGTAGTTGATGGCACTTTGTTGTTGCATGTGAGAGTTCAAATACATATACACTATTCGAACTGTGTAAATACCTTTCTTATTGTGCTTCCATATGTCCACATGTCTTGCTCATCCTACTTGATTGTAATACCTTCAAGTTCTGCCTATAAGTCATACAAAAGAATATTTTCCCACACAAACAAAGTCCTCCCCCATTCCCATTTCCATTCCCACCTTCCTTCTTTCCAATCACCCATCTTCATCATTATAACCTCTTTATTCAAGGCCAAGCTAAACAATCTTTTATATTTCTCCATTAATATTGCATTTCCTACCCATGGATCTTGCCAAAACAACATACTCTTCCCATCCCTTGCTACTTTTGAAATCCCATCATCTAACCAATTTTTCCTATGTTGATTAAAATCATTTAATCCCCATAAATCTTTCCAGCATATAGAACTGTTTGTCCCTTTCACACAACCTTCCCATCGTCCATGTCGCTCTTTCCTATACAACTCTTTTATAACTCTTCTCCATAAAGCCTCTTATTCTGTTAAAAATCTCCACTTCCATTTTCCTAATAATACCACATTAAACTCTTTTCTAGGTTCTTGACTCCTAGTTTGCTCTTAGTTGTCTCTTTACAAACTTTCTCCCACTTTACCCACGCAATCTTCCTACTTCCCCCATAACCCTCCCCCAAGAAATTTTTCTTTG